ATTAATTTTAATTTTATGAATATTATTGTATTAAATAATGCATGTTTTACAGTAAAAATATCCCCAAAGTATTGCATTTTTAACATCTATTGAGTATTTATAAAATAACATGCAAATTTTCGACATCAACATCTGTGGTAGATTAAGTTTAATAAAGAACAACAGAAATAAGTTTCTGTATGAATTACAATAAAAATGCTGATAGCACTCTAGAAAATAAAGAATCTTCATTAATTCACACTGGTACCAGCATGTTCAATACACACGGATCGCTTACACTGACACACGTGTGTTCTGCTCTCCTGGAATTGTTGTTGGATATAATTTACATCTCTATAGACTTGGGGCCTTTTCAGTAGGTTTTTATCATATTATGAAATTTATAGTTAGCAGGAACACAAAATATGAACAAAATAAAATATCAAATCCTTAATGAGTGCTACACACTTAAGAATAGATATCAACATTTTCACATGAGCTCTGTACTTACAAAACTTAAGGGTAACATCAGAAATAAATTCCTATCCAAACTTCAATGAAAATTCCAATAGCATGCTACAAAAATAATCTTTACTTCAATTACCATAACTAAATATAAGAAAATAAGTTGTCAACAGTATAAAATACTAAATGTTTAATGAGGGAGTAGACATCAATGTTTTCACATCAGTTTTATACTTGCTCACAAAAGCCTGAGCGATTACCTCAGAAGTAAAGCCCATGTGAACTGTGACATAAACACAAGTAGAAGTGAAGCACAGAAGTAATGTGTGCTTGCACTGTCACCTCCAGGGCAGGCCTCACACATGACAGCTGTATGTTCAGACAACATCTCTCATTTTAACACACAGCATGTGTGCTTAGCTTTCCTTCCCTGTGTAGCAAATCATTTTTGTTACCTCTCTTCTCTTCCTGTTTTGTCTCTTCCTGTTAAGCACACATTGGTGCTTTGTAGGATGTGCCCTTAACAGGCAAATAAGATATCAGCAAAACCAATATCATATGTATAATGAGTGCCCAGAAACATTTTGCTTTTCCTCTTCTGTAAATCATCACTTGTTTCCATCCCAATGTTCCAAGAATATTTCTCCAAGATATTTTGCATTTACTATTTTCCTTTTAAGTGATCAAACCATATGTTTCATGCACATTTAGGATTAAGATAACCATTGACCAATGATCTGTGCTTTGATTGACATAAATGTAGCATAGCTCCTTAAAAACATCTACTCTGTCTTTGGTTTTTGTTTTTGAAATTTTCATCTCAAGCTGCAGTTTAGTCGTGGTTTCCCTATCCACATTTCCATCATGTTGCAATTTTGACATGAGCAGTACCAGTTTGTTTTTCTTTGCTGTATATATGGCCAATGTGAATTTCTATGAAATCTGAAGATTTTACTGTAATGTTCTCTGTTTTGAAATTGTACCATTTCGTTTGGAATTTCTGTCTTATTCCTGTGTGCATTTCCTGTGCTGATCAGTGTGTTCTGCATTAGCAAATGTAACATAAACTGGAGACTGGTAAACAAGTTGTCCAATGTCACATTCTGATTAATTGCAGAGATAGGAGAAACTAGTCTGTTCACAACATCACTTGATTTGTTACTATATAAATAAGAACATGGAGGCTGAGTTCTAGGATAATTTTCAAAATTTAAAGCATAGTAGTTCCTCACATCTAAAAAGCCATAAAGTTTTTGATTCCGTATTTTGACCCATCACTTTCCTGTAACACTTTACATTCCTGTGATGACCAAGAGAAATCCCTGGTAACTACAACAGAACTAGGAGTGTTTTTAGTTTTGCTAATGAGTTGTCCTGATAAATGTATTTTTAATATGGTTGTCAGTGCATACAACATGCTATACTTGTTTTTCAGCCTTTCTGTATTTCACGGCATCTGCCAACAATGAATTGTAGTTCTGGCATCCTGTCCAATATAGTTCATCCTGCCACAATCCTCACTGTATTTTCATAGTTCTAGTATGGGATCATTCCACTTGGCTCATGACCATTTTGCAACATTTTGACTAGCCAAATAGGCATTCCTATTGTTTTATTTGTCAACAGAATTAAGAACATACTCCTGACCCCTGCCCCTGCTTGCAGGCACTTTAATCTGCCGTCTTGCTCCATCTCAGTATTGCAGGAATGCACTTGCACAGTGTCGAAGCCATCATCACATCGCCACCGTTATCATCATCTCCGGCATCCTCACACTCACACCCACACCACTCTTCTGCTATGAAGCCATGCACTTTCCCATAACGGATCATCTTCATTATCAGTGCATGAGTAATCTGATGATTCACATTTGACCTCCTCCAACACTTGTAAATCTTGTTTTTCATGGGTTATGGTACTAAACTGAGATATTTCTACCAGAAAAAAATATCAGAAAAAAAAATAAAAATAAGAGAGCTGTGAATGTATTAAACTCCTATGATGCTCAGGTAAGTATATGCAAAACCTGTTAGATGGAGCACCTTGGTGAAAATATGAGTTTGATATGTTTGCATTCATGCACTACATGTGCCTTTCATTCCAACATACTAAATGGATAGCCACAGGATTACTTCCTGCATCCCTCAAGCAAGAGTGCTGACATGTACAGTCACTTATTGTTATGCTAAACTAAGATTTTAGGTAGACAAGTAAGA